TCAGCACTCGCTTCATTCACGTCAAAGTCGGAGAGCTTTACGCTAACAGGCAGAGGCACACTCTCCCCCCACTCAACGCCATACTCTGCAGCCAGCGCTTCGGCAAACCTCTGCTGCGGAATCTTCAACAGCCCTCTCTCTACGTCTCTCTCGTAAAAGCACGCGGAGTACCACCTCAACTCTCTAAGGTTCTTCATGGGGACCATCTGGTTGAGATCCCTGCCAAACTTGTCACACCTCTCCTTCTGCGCTACAGCAAAAATGTCATCCACGTGGACCACGATGATCATGATCACATGTCCCTCCTCCATCAATCGAAAAACACATGCATCCGCCAGACACTGCAAAAATCCTAAAGGTAACAAACACCTCGCCAGGTGCGCATGCCAATGTCGTGATGCCTGCTTCAAGCCATACAGACTCTTGCACAGCTTCACGATCAGGCCAGATGACCCACCAAACCCCTGCGGTAAGCGCATGAAAACATCCTCATCATGCTCAGACTGCACAAAAGCCTGCTGAATATCGAAATGGTACGAGTCAAGATTCTGCTCGCATGCTAATGTTGCCAACAAGCGCATATTGGACACTGATACGGTGGGTGCAAACAATTCTTCAAAATCAATCGAAGCCCTCTGCATGTTCCCCCGCGCTACAAGTCTTGCCTTGAATTTCGTCGGCCATCCGTACTCGTCTGCCTTACAGTTGAATACCCACTTAGCATTGATGGCGTTCGCTACTGGTTGCTGCACCGAACTGAAAGTTCCTGCATCCCATAAACCGAAAAACTCTCGATCGACTGCATCATCCCCTCCCAGAATCCACGGGCCCCTCAGCTCCCACAGCCCCCCCGCTTCCACGGGCTCCAATACTCGGATCCGGCTGCGGCGGGGGCGGCAGGTCGCGGCGTCCTTGATCCACGGCCTCCCGAGTGGCTAGCGACGAGATGAGGGAGTCCTTGTCCATCATCGCTAACAGACCAAGACGGTGGTGGAGAGCGGTGCCGCCACCGGACGGCGGTTGTTGTTGTTCCTCCATGAACCGCACTCCATCGCCGCGCGTGTGGCCATGTACCCTCGTGTCCTTTCGTCCCAACTCCTTCACGGCTCGTTTCGAAAGCGGCGGGTGTGGGGGAGCGGGGGTGGCGGCGCTGGTGGGCTGCGGCGGCTGCGGCGGCAGGCCCGGGGGCGAACGGGGCGGCGTTGTTGCGGTCGACGGTGGGGCTGATGATGGGGCGACGGAGATCGGCGACGGGGCTGAGGATCCTGTGAAGATCGGCCGGGAAGCGGGCTGCGGCGGTGTGGTGGTCGCTGGTGCAGGCGGGATGTAGGTGTACGTTCTTGATGGCGGGGGCGGCGGCGGTGCGGCATCGGCCGCAGGTACGGCGGTGGCCGGCGAGGGCGCCGCGGTGACCGAAGAACCCCCCCCGATGCCCGGCACCGGCGCCGGCGCCCCTGCCCGGCGGTTGACCCACACGACGTTGTTGGTGAGGGCGAGCCGACCGGTGTCAGCGCGAAGAACGACGGCGGTAGGCGTCGAGGGGTTGTTGGCGCCGTGCAGGTAAAAGCACCGTGCGGATTGGACGTCCGCCTTCGTGGCCCGCTTCACGCGCATCATCCCCTCCTGGAAAAAAGGGACGACGGTGAGGGGCGGCTTCCGGCCGAAGAACGCCTAAAACGGCGACATCCAGCCCAGGTTGGCCTTCGTAGCGGAGCGGTTGAAGCAGGTGGATGCCCACAGCGCCGACGCGAGCCACGGCCGATGTCCGTTGACGCCGACGTTGGGGATGGAGGAGAGGTCGACGTGGTCCATGGCGAGGATGTGGCGGCGCGCGGCGTGGCCCCCCTTCATGGCGCGCCATATGGCGCTCTCGACCACCGCGTTTTGCTTGGGGGTGTCGGGGGCGGTGTACTCGCGCCGAATACCAGCAGCGTCGCAGAACGAGGTTAACGCGGAGCCGGTGAACTCGCCGCCGTTGTCCATGCGGAAACACCCCGGAGTGCCCATGCCGTTCATGTCGGCGAGGAACCGCTGCACGAACTTCAGGGTGTCGCTCTTTGCCCGCATCCCGTACCCCCGTTGCCACCGCGATGCGCTGTCCACGAACATGACCAGGTACCAGGAGCCGCCCAGCGCGTCAGAGAACGGGCCCGTGAGGTCGATGTGGGTTTTGCTGAACGGTACCGCCGCGCGGGTGCCACGCCGCGGCACCGGTGCCCGCCTGCCCTTCGCTTCCCGCAGCCCACACATGGCTGCATCTCCCCCACCAGTCGTAAGCCCTGCTGCTTGGCCGTTTCACACATCAACAATTCGTTTACATGGCCGGTGGAGGCATGGAACAAATTAATGTCAATGGTCGGCGTGGATTTTCCTACCGAAAACGGGGAAGCACCGGGGGCGATAATCGCCAAAGGCATGCGAGGGGGAGGAGGGAGCTACGGTTTGCTGCTCACTGCATCCAGCAACATANATGCGGAAACACCCCGGAGTGCCCATGCCGTTCATGTCGGCGAGGAACCGCTGCACGAACTTCAGGGTGTCGCTCTTTGCCCGCATCCCGTACCCCCGTTGCCACCGCGATGCGCTGTCCACGAACATGACCAGGTACCAGGAGCCGCCCAGCGCGTCAGAGAACGGGCCCGTGAGGTCGATGTGGGTTTTGCTGAACGGTACCGCCGCGCGGGTGCCACGCCGCGGCACCGGTGCCCGCCTGCCCTTCGCTTCCCGCAGCCCACACATGGCTGCATCTCCCCCACCAGTCGTAAGCCCTGCTGCTTGGCCGTTTCACACATCAACAATTCGTTTACATGGCCGGTGGAGGCATGGAACAAATTAATGTCAATGGTCGGCGTGGATTTTCCTACCGAAAACGGGGAAGCACCGGGGGCG